TATATATATAAGTGTGTGTATAAATGATGAAGAATGAGCATACAAATTTAGACAAGAACAAGTAAAATCTTACATACCTTTCGCAGAAAAGCATAACAAATTTATAGAGTAGAAGAAGGACGTATACAAAAAGCATAAAAAATTAAAGTAGTTTCGAATTATTTTGCTATCATAATATACTTATCTAAATAACTTAGGAAAACAATAATTACATACGAATTTAACAAAGAAAATAAATGGAAAATTTGTAATCCACGCACTAAACGCAAAAAAAATGTTTCTTATGGATGTTTACTTTTAATTTATTATCATCAGTTTAAAAAGATGTTCTGAAGAAAGCGTGTTAAGTATGCAAATGGATTTTTCTTTTATTTTTCTCAGGTGGAAAATTAAAAAAAGAGCTTTAAGAGATAAATAATGTAATTATAAAACCAAATGCTCAAAAAAAATATCGCATTAAAGAATACGTTATTTTAATTGCATTTGTTTTCATGTCCTCTATCTGCATTATATTTTGTTCCTAATAAAATCGTAATAAAAGCTTTAGTTTGTATTTTTGATCCTACTCTTCAATTTTTAACTGTGAACTCTTTTTAACTCTCAATAATCAACAATATATAAGAATTGTTTAATGTACAAAAGAATATATTAGAAGTTCTTAGGTGGCACCACGTTTTGCACGCTGCTGTCGTCTACACTAAAAATGAAACAACAATTGAGGAAAAAATGCGGCTTCCTTTGTTTTAACTTTCTGTTTTTATTAAATCTGCTAAACCTTTAAACCTACATACTATGATAATGTTAAACACCACAAATACTTCTCGAGCTATTAAGTATTCCCGATTTTGTCTGTCCGATATTGACCGAAAATGTCTGCCAATAATTACTGAAGGAATAATAATTTAGTGTTGAAAAAAGATTATCTTTTTATGGATTCATTTTGTAACAATCTTTTATTTCCGCTCTTTTGTATGAGCAATTCAGTATTTGAAACAAAACTAAACGAAAACAGGTCACTGAAATTAATATCTCTCTCTCTCTCTCTCTCTTTATATATTAGAGGAGTTTTTTGTTCATTCTTTCGAAAATATTAATCCGAGAGAGTGGAAATATAAAATTAAATTAGTGAAGAATGAAGGAAATACTTCGTCTACTACATTTTAGCAGTAAAATTAAGAAGAATTATGCATTAATAATGAATAATTCTATATAGTTATTACTTTATGGTTAAGTTGCGTTCTTGTTCGTCTATAGTTGCTTGTAAGATAGATTTAACAGGATAAATTTTTATTTTGGAATAAGTAAAATGACATAACATGTATTAATATATTCTAAGAAGAGCCGACCGGCAAGTAAAGGGGACAGGGAACTGTCCTTGCATCAGAAAGGTTCTGGGTTCGAATTCCGGAAAAGGCATGGATGCTTCTTTCTCTCTATCTATGTTCTATGTCCTTTCACCTTTATGTGTGAATGTGACCCGCCCTATAAACGGATTGTGGTAGTGCGACGTGGACGACGCTGCTCCACCGCCTGTGGCTTCGTCACAGGTGCCCACTGGGTAACAAAAAGAGAGTAAGCAGTTCTGTCATTTTCTGTGGCCAATGGACAATAGTTCCAAGTGCCCGCCATAAAAAAAATATTCTAAGAGTATCAACTTTCTTAAAGTACATTTATATAAATAAAATAGTAATTTCAAAAATGATCGTACTCGTATTTACCATGTTTCATGATTCAAAGATTTATCCCCCCCCCCCACCCCGATTAAAGCTAGGGCAAAAAAAATAAACATTTAAAAAATAATAAACACTGTTCTGATGAATTTTTTTCCCCAATAATTTTTTATTTTTTGCTATTTTCCATAGAAAACTTTGGAATTGGGTAGAGTGAAAAAAGTGGGGGAGGAAGGAATGGGGGGAGGAAAGAGTGAGAGACTGCCTGGGAGACTGCAGCACAGACCTTACAGGTGCAGATGAATAATGAGTGCCAGCTGTCACTTTGCACTTGATAAGAACAAGAAGTTCTTTCTTTATCTCTCCGCACTTCACAATGCAGAGAAGTGAGGTGCATCCAGTGGCCGGTTTTGTAAAATGTTTGATTTCTGAAACTTTGCAAAAGATGACAGATAGTTAGAAACGAAAAACGTTTTTCGAAGAAGATTAACATTTCACGAGAATATGGAATATAATTTGAACCACAAAATGCTTCCGAACATCTTAAAATTACTAAATCAACATGAGCTCTAACCATTAAACAACAAAGAAGAATTGAAAAAGCAGTTGCAGAATGTGGTGTGGTAAGAAATCGTCGAAAATCAGAAAGCCATTTCAAGCCACTCCTCTCTCTGTTCTCGAGAGTGACAAAGTTGAACAGTATAACGTCATTTGTGCAAAGGAATATAATGACTAGTGGATCTCTAATCAAAGAAAATCTCGTCAACTTACCGAAAAGCATAATGTAACGGACTTTCTTGCATCTACTGATTGTATTTACAGTCTTAACAAAAGATGCGATATAGTGCAAAAAATAGTGTGCGGAGAGACGGTTTGTTTAAATGAAGGTCTAACATAAGATTGGGACGGAAAAATTGTTCAATCTGATTGTAGGGTATTCATAACCAAACAATTGCAACGCTGACGAAACGGGATTATTATATGACTTTTGCCCTAACAAAAAAATTTCTATAGGTATGCTAAATGCTTTGGTCTGGAAAAAAACGCAAAATGTTGATTGAGGTTTTGCTATTATTTAATATTAATGGAACTGACAAATTGAAGCCATTTTTTATCAGAAGGGCAAGGATGTCTTAAAAACTTAAAGATCTTAACGATTAAATAAAAAGCAAAAAAAAAAAACCATGGCTGATGTTCACCCAATTTACAGAGTTTTTAAAATCCTTAGATAAGTCTATAAAATTATAAAAGAGAAAAATGTTTTTGTTTATCAACCTATGATTTTGTTAATAGACCCTAACCGTTCATGTAGCATAGAAGCAGTGGGTTCGAATACTATGGTAATCATGAATGTATCTTTATGCTGTTCTAGTTCTCCTCTAAATTGTACTATCATTCTACTTGATAAAATGCTTGTATGCCGTAATTATGTAACTAAGCACGTAAGCCTGTAGGCATCTATGCCGATAAATAAATAATTAAAGATACATCAAAAAGTTAAAAATACTAAATAAATTATAAAATAAGTGAGAGTTCTGACAAAAAATTCAGTAATTTTATTGTGATATTTTAGAGCATAACATAAAAACCATTTATTAGCCATTATGAACCATTTTATAAGTGTTTTTGGCCATTATAAAACATTTTTCGTTATTGCATTTGCACAAAATTTGTGATAATAAGAATTTTATTTTGAAAACTAGACTTTCGAGGAAACCGTTACGTTAACGATTGGTAAAATTGCCAAAAAATTGGTATTAATATGGCATGTATTGGTTTAATTAACAGAATTATGTCTTTTTACTAGAAATGCCTTTACATGAATGGTAATTTTACTTTGAATGCAAATGAATAAACAGAATATTTAAATTACCCAACTAAAATTTAATTATATACGCTTAATTTCATATTCATTTTATACATTTCAAGACGTAAATTAATTATTTATAAAGTGTGACATTTGAAGTTAAAACTATATGTAATTTTTTTGACTAATTAAAAATATTTTTAAATTTTGGAAGAAAAGTTCGTTAGCTACCTAGCAATCTTTCCGTTTGATTTCGAAAACCGATAATGCTTGTGTTGAATAATTTTTAAACCTAATTAACTGTGAAAGTTATTTTACTATATATTTTGTATTAACACGATTATTAATGTAAATTGTAAGCAAGTTAGTACTTATCAGACAGTAATTTAATAATGGTATAAATAGTATCATTGCAAATAAACAAAAGTAAATGATGGCATGAGTGGATCTGAAGATATTTTCCATATCATGAGACCTATGCTTCCTTGTAATTGAAAAATCAACGTAAGCGACAAAAATTTTAAAATGAGATTTTCATATATTTGACATCTTTGTTTAGTAAGCTACATATTAAATTCTTTTTTTCAAAAGTAAAGTTTGTTTTATCAGTTTTTTGAAATTCTATTTCAGCGTTTATAGCATTAGCAATAGAAGAAAAATAATTGTCAAATCACTTTACTCGGAATCAATCGTGAAGCACTTACGTCGTTTTTTGAATTGCACGTGAATATGATATACCATACAATATACTGTAAATTACGTAACATATTGTGTATGTGCCATTTTCATAGTTATATAGTTAGTAATAGTTTAAATAATAAAATATTTTAGCTATAGAATATTTGCATTTCAGTAATATTATTTAAGAACAGTTGTATTGTAATATTTAATGAGCATACAAATTGAGAACTACTTGTAAATTAATTATTATATTATAATNATATATATATATATATATATATATAATTTGCAGTTAAATATAACATTATTTTTGTTTCTTTTTGGGAATAGATATTTTCCATATCCATTCGTTATGTCACCAAAAAATATCATTTCTGCTTCAAAATGTCCCGCATTGGTCTCATCGTAAAGACACGTTTTCCAGTACAACATCAAAGTCTGCGATCATTGAGCTAGTGAGTGACCACTTTGATCAGCCTGCTTAGGGACCGAGTTGCCCTCTATCAGTCTCTATTAAAACATTAGTGCTACCGTAATGTGCTCGACTTCGTGCGCACGTCTTCTGGCTATACCAACGTGGGGATGCCATCCTCTCTGCTGATGCATGACTTCATGACTGATGCATGAGAGCATGACTTCAGATCATGAACCGGGATATTTCTCTGACCATCGCAATGGCTCATTGAGCTACTCAAGTGCGACGTTAGTATAGAACAGTGACACCAGTTGCAAAATATTTAAGAAAACTTGTGAAAGAAAAATTATGTAATTACTCTTGTATTTGTGTGCTAATTAATTATGTACTTTTCCTTAATATTGCTCTCTCTTTGGTAGGGATCCTAATATTATATCTCAAGGGGGAGAAGTACACATGGATAACATCAGAGGAAGATATGACAGAATTGTTTGGCCTTTGTATGAACCAGTTCATCAAAAATATATTAGTATATGTGAGTAATACCAATAAGTATTATTATTTTGTAAATTTGTTTAATTTTGCCATGGAAAAGATATTCATGTAACTTAGAAAACAGATTCAGAAATTTGGTAAACAGCAAAATACATTACTTAGATTAAGAATTGGATGTGACTGTAACAATTCAACTGGGGAAAAAATTTTGTTTGCCGCTTTAAATTTTTAAAATTTTTTTTATCATACTTTTCTTTAAATACTGTGTATTCTTTGAAGTAATTGAAGAATCTTATTTCTCGAAATATCAAAAAGACAAACAATGGAAGTTTATTATTCAGAATGAAAAGAAAGAATATTTTTCTAATATGCAGAATCCAGAATAAAAAGAGATTATTTTTTCAATAAAAAAAATAAAAACAAAAATAAAAATCAATAAAAAAAGAAGAAGAAAAACTAGAGATTAGTAAACGTGAAGTTCATTTCCGTTTTAAAATTAAACTCTTCAACAAAAACAGAACACGTTTACATTCATCTTAAGGAATATTATCTAAATTAGTCACAGTTAACGTCATATTCACATTATTAGAGGGCGGCAAACAATCTTTAAAAATGCTTTTTTCACATTAATGAACTTATATCACCAAGAGTGTTAGACAAAACGAGATTTGAGTGAAATGATAGCTGAATTTAGCTTGTATATAACAGAAAAAAATACAAAATTATCTGAAAAAAAACTTGAATAAAACTCAGGTAAAGGTAGATGAATGTATATACTATAGTTTCTATTCTGTAAATGAAAATATACCTCAGTGTCTAAACACAAAAAGACAGTAGGAGAAAAACGAGATAAACACGTGAAAAGGGATTTAACCAATAGGGAAAGAGGAACAATCAATGTTATTAAAATTGGAGGAAGGAAACAGTTTGGAGAGTTTGTATGAGCAATCCAAGGAGCAAGATGTAAAGGATAAAATTTAAAGGATTTTAGAATATTACAAAAATACGTGTTATTAAGATCCTTAAAAGAATTAATGGAAATTTTTAAGGCATGGAATGATTCCCTGAAATTAAGGTTAGTAGATGAAAAGCAGATTTGAATTATATTAAATCATTGGAATTTATGCCTGCATAATAGTCATATCTGAAGGGAAAAAACGTGATTAAAGCACAGGTAAAGGTATATGATTGGGCATACTGTAGTGTCTGTTCTATAAATAATTTTTTTTCTCAAAATATAAACACAAAATGACAGTAAAAGAGAAAGGAGATAAACGCGTGCAAAGTGATTTAACAATTAAGGGAAGACAAAGAAGCAAGTTTAAAAAATAAGAGAAAGGAAACAATTGTGAGATTTAGGGGGAGCACTCCAGGGTGCGAGATACAAAAACAAATTTTTTTTAGCTTTTAAAACATTGTTAAAAAACATTCCAAAATGTAACCATAATGAGATACAAATGAAAGTTTAGGGGTTGGAAAAAAATAAAAGATCTTTTGCAATAACAAATATAAACTAACTGACAAATACTATAAGAGATATTCCAAAAACTATAAATGAGAAAGATGCAAAGATAAAACACTAAACCAGTTTGATTATGGGAATAAAGAGAGGGGAGTTTAGAAAAAAGTGTTTAAACAGATTTTTATGCTTTATACAACCACTGGCGTTAGTTCTGAATTGCTAGATTTCAGAAATATCAATTAAATTTTATTTTTTTGTTTTAGATTTTATTTGACACTCGTAATGTGTATACTTTTTTTCTTCATTCTTGAAAAGGATAATTCACTCGTTGTTCTTACATAGCCTTAAACCTATAGTAAAACTTATAATTCTGCAGAAAATATAAAGATAACTTGTGTTTCTTAATCTTATCTAGTTTACTTTATAATTAACAAATAATTATTTTTGGAAATTGCCTTTTTGTTTATGTCTAACCTGTTAAGTTCTCTTTGTTTATGACATTTTTATTATTTTCGAAATAATTCAAGCATTTTTTTTAACGAAACTTGGTGTTTCTTTTCAGATTTAATGATTAAACTTTAATTTCAATAATTTATTTTTCCAGAAACAGTTAGCCACACAAAAAAAATCACTTCTTCTTGCAACTAATTTAATTTAATTTTAAACAATCATCAAAATAAGCAAGCGGCTATATCGATTAGAATATTATTACTCTTAATTCCAATTTCCCAGAATACGAAAGTGGTTTTCAGCAAAATTTCTTACATTTTTTTAAAAAAAATCTGGAAAATAAGTATTTAAATTAGTATTCTTGAGTGTTCGGAAAATTTCTTTGAATAACTTGATAACATAGTATTAAGCAGTTTTATATTCATGCTTTGTCGGTATTTATCTTATTTTTGTTATTTAAATTAAACTAATTTAATCAACAAACTATTGGCTATATTCTTTAGATATGTGCTTTTTTTTAATTTCATTAATTCTTGTGAATGAATTAAACAAATTTTTAATTGCATCGGTGCACAAAACTAATTTTTATTTTTAACCCAATCTTCTTACAACAGTAAAATAGAAAAAAAAAATTTATTAAAATTTTATAAATGAAAGTAATACTATACGTCATTTGAGTAACATTATCAAACATAAAAACACTTTTCCTTTACATAAAAGGTGAATACACCTCTTAAGAAGGAACAAACAGAAAAAGATTAAGGAATTTGAATTTGCAATTTAGTTTTTTATTCTGTTTTTCAAAATTGCGTTTAAGCTTTCAAAGAATTAACGAAGTGGAATGTATCCAATTTCGTCATTAGAATCAAAATAATCAGAGCAAATGTATTAAAAGTGTTTTCTCAAGTTGTAACGAGGGATTAAAGTTAATTCCTCAGTGATTTGCAACCGATTGCATATCTGTAGACTTTTGTAAATTTTAAATTTAAAGTAGTCTTTAGTATGAAACATTGTAGGAAACTAAATCTCTAAGTTAAGACTAAAGCACGATGCATCAACGCAGAAAAGAGTTGATTGGGTAAATTAACCATTACCATGTACAAGTGAGATTTAACGGGGATTTTACTTAAACGTAGATTACCGGTTGAAGCATATTACTTGAAAAGAGAATGCAATACGATAGGGATTAATTGTAATCTCTTTGCAATTGAAAGTACTCTTGGAAATTTGTATAAGAGTATAACGTTTATATTAGATCGTTAAACTTATTTTCTGTTGATTAATCTGCTGCTTTGATTTAACATTTAAAATCTCTTTCTCCAATCTTTTAGAGATAAGATACTTTTCAGTCATGCTACATAATACAGTAAATAAATATTTGCAAAATATTAGTTGGATAAGTATTTAATACACAATATTCTATTATTGAGAATAACTTTAGATCTATCGCTGTTGTACAGCTTGTCTTAACAACAGCAGTAAAATTAAATTCAAATGAAATGTAAATGTTTTTAACATAATATTCACTCCTTTTATTGAAATAAACATTGACAAGCAGGAACAATAAATACAACGATTAAATCATTCATCGTATAAATTTCCCTGTTTATTACGGAATTCGAACTTCACTTCATTTTCTAGTCCGCTTGATTTTTCGAACTATTTTCATGACCAGAAGATGCTAATTAAATTATGAATTTAAACTATTTTAAAAACTTCAATTTTAAACTTTAGAAATAGAATATAATGTATTTCGATGAAATGTATTTTAATTAAATGCATTTCAGTATTTGTTTTTAAGATCTTAATAAATAAATTCATTAAAATAAGTAATTCTAACTTTCTGTGATATCGGTTTTAAAAAAAGTGTTCACCAAAAAGTAACATCCAAATCAAAAAATTTATCTATTAAAATGTTTTAGTTATATAAGTGTAAACATAAGTAACATGTATTTATTTTTATTGTTATCTTCAACACTTGATTCACTTAATAAAGCAAATCAAATTCAAATAACTCAAAGCATTTTTATGCAGAGTTTTGACATTTACAAAGTACTTATTTTTGAAAGATTTTTCCCTAATTAAAATGCAAAAATCTATAGTGTGGTAAAAGAAAATTTCTCGATAAGATTGTGAAAATATTTAATAACTTCTTTACCCTCTATTTGAGTAAATGATGATTTCTAAATATTGTTTTTAAACATTTTTATAGCTTCTCTTTCAGACAAATTTGTATGCATTGATTCTAAAACACTTAAGACCATATTATAATCATTAAAACTCAAAGGGCGACGTTCTCCTACAGTAAAGGATTTATCATAAGTAAAAGAAAATAAACTAAGAAACCATTTATTTCGCGTTTTTTTCTTTAAAAAGTTGTTTTAAATACTAAGAGAGAAAAAAAAACGATACGCATCATCTCTTAGGAGACTTTGTGAACTTAGATGTTCAAATATTTTAAATATGCCGACCTGGTGGCCGAATGGTTAGCGTGCCAGACTGCGGAGCCGCTGGTCGCGGGTTCGAATCCTGCTCAGGTCATTGATGTTTCTTCCTCTCTCTGTGTTCTATGTCCTTTCTCCTTTGTGTGTGAATGTGACCCGCCTATAAACTGGTTTGTGGTTGTGTAACGTGGGCGACGCTGCTCCATCTCCGTGGCTTCGCCACTGATGCCCAATGGGTAACGAGAAGAGAATAGCGGTTCTGACATTTCTGTGGCCAATGGGACAACCCCCAAGTGACAAACACTAGCAATATGTATTTTAAATATATTTAATTTTATCCACTTTTATTTTATCGTTTCATTCTTTTAATCAATAAGTTTTTAAACTTCAATGCATTTTACTTTACTTTAATATTTCTTAACGAATCTTGATGTTTTAAAAATGAGTTTCGCTTTTAATGAAAAAAAAAATAATTAAGTTTAAGCTACGGCTCTTACAAAGCTTAATTTTATAGAAATCCTGTTTTGTATTTAGTATTGTCAAGAGGAGGTTTCAATTTACGAATTATTGAAGAAGGTTTAAGCTTTAAATTTTGCAGGTAGAAAGAATAACTGCTCTTAACAAAAATTAACGAAATAGTGCGGAATAGGGGAATAAAGGAAAACGGAATAATGGATAACATAATAATCTTATAGCGTTCAGCTCTTATGCTATTTGAAGCTTCGTTTCACGCGGAAAGAGCATTTTTCAGTAATATTTTTTACTGCAGCATGACATATTCAAATTAGTGTGTGATACATACTTATTCCTAGACATTGTGCATTTTGGCATTTTTCTACTTCTATAAAAAATTGAGTTTAACAAACAACTTAACGATTTAATAAATCATGTTGCTGAAGCTTCAATTCTAAAGAGCTTATTTGTAAACAAAATTATTTAAAAGCTCTTCATTTTTTCTAAATTATCACATGCCGTCAATCGTTTCTTTTGTTTAAAAAATCTAGCCACAAACAAAAAGTATGAAAAAGAAAATGTATAATTAAAAAAAAGGAAATTATGTAATTATCTCAATCACAATCGGGTTCTCTGGTGGTTGTTGCTTAAATCCCATGGTGCGAGCTCTGTGTTCATCAAATTGAGGAAAAATTATTATCTTATCGTTGTTGTATCTAACATTTTCAACAAATTAATTTCTCAGCCTTATACAACTTCCCCTTGTTTCAGCAATCCTAATATAATTTTAAATGTTAGTAATATTTCAGAAAAGAAATATGTTTTTTTCCGGTTGGGTGCTATTTTAAAGTTTTATCAATACTCTTGCAATTTAAGCAACATAAATTAAACATAACAGATTAGAAATGTTTTAAATTTAACAATAGAAAAACTATTTTCAGAAAGAATGACACATCATTTATTTACATATTTAAATCTCTTAAAATATGTAAAATATAAAGCAGTGTTAAGCAGCTCTTTTAGTGCATGTCTTTTATTTTCATTTACGTCAGTTCTTAAAAGATAATTACATTGAAGCTTATTAACTGAAACGCTAAGATATTTTGAAAAGAGGAAGAATTAATTACTCATTTTCATCATAAAATATTGCTTTAAATATTTATTTCCATCCTAATTAGCAAATATGAAATGTAGAAAGACAAAAATAGCAGTAAAAAGCAACTAGTTATTAATGGTCGTATTCTTTTGTTCTAAGCATTGTTGCCTAATTTATTTGACGTCAATTCCTATTCAGGAAACATCTTTGTATTCGAAGAAGTTTCAAATGATAAAGCTCCAAACATTGTTGAGCAATTTATCAAAGGAAAGCAATGCAAAAAAGTTATTTGGATGAAAGCTGCTACTGAAAAAGAGAAAACGGAAGTTGTTTTTTTTCTTTTATCTATATAAATTTATCTTAGTCTGTGTTATACTTGTACGACTTTTTTAACTCTGCTGGATTTGTTTACAGAGACATATTTTTTAAATATTTTTATTGGAATTTTGAAATAAAAAAGTAGAGTTGTAGAAAATAGATATTGTAACAGAAGATCTAAAAAATTTTTTTGCGAAACCAAATAATTGCACGCCATTTTTAATAAGAATGAATAGCATTTGGTGAATGAAAATACTTAAAAATAATACTAAATTTTCTGAAAGTGTTATTTTCCCCCAATATAGTAGCGTACAGCTGATTTATATTTCATATTATTTAAAGTTAATGTACTCTTACCACATAAAGTTTCAGTCAAAGGGTTCATGGAGGTTGGAGATCAGTAATATGTCAATATTCACATCTTCTCAGAAAAGCTTAATGAATGTCTGGGAGAACTTTAAGACGTTATCAGAGATGGAATTCTAGTCCTACAAAATTACAGCTTAGTACCTTAACAACTGCGTAACCAGAGCTTTTAATCGTAGTCTATTCACGGTCATTGTTGAAGAAATTGTTGAAGTTTGTCTTAAAATATCTTTGTAGAATCCATTTGAACATACAATCGATACTCAATATAGCGACTGTTTTCTAAGTGAAAATGGATGTTGTAATATAAGGATACTAAATCGCAAAGCAAACATTTACACATAATTCATAAATAACCAACTTATTTTAACAAATATATTATTTATTTATCCACATCCTTCTACATATTAACTTTTTTAAGCTCATGATGTTATACTGAAGACGCTCTGGCGCCGCAGTTGGTTAAGTCGTGGCGCACAATACTGATTGGAGAGCTGGGAGTACTGGTTTCGAGCCTTGTTGCCGCACAAAACATCCGCCGTGTGTGCGCCCTTAGAGTCACCGGATAAGAATACATGATTGTGTATTTCTTTATTCATTCATAGAGAATTCGAAATGTTGCAAGCATATTGAGCGGAAAAAACAAAGATTTAGAGGTTTGAATCATTTTCTGGAACTTTTTACTATAGATTGATCCATTGTCAGTGGACTAATCTTTGTTATGAATGAGCAAAAAAGCCATCAGTCTACTGCGGGATACTCATTACAGAGGGTTTTGAGAACCATTAATCATTATTTTTTGAAATATATTTTTTAATATAGCCTTTAAAGTAAATAACTAAATGAAATGAGAAGAAAAAGAAGATCACGTAGCTGTTCATTATCATCCCTTGCCTAGCCACGTACACATGTGAACAGTGTCGAATATTTTCCACTTCTGGCCTTCGAGTATTCGGATTTATAACGTTCTTTTATCGTGCCTCAATAAGGGTGATTTACCGTTGAAGAACATTTTTAAATGTCTCTCGAAATGCTATATATATATATAAAAATTAAAGATTAGAGAAGAAAAAAAAATTCTAATAAAATATTAAATATAATTTTTTCTTTCAGCAATGAAACCCAGAATACGTGATCATTATCACGCCCATCGTTTATCCTATTGGCTCAACCTCATCCCACGATTACATGATTCCGGAGATGGAAATACTTCAATTCAACATCATCGTCTCCATGACCACGACAACCCTTACAGCTACGATGGAGTTGTTAGACACCGAGACAATTCCGGTAGCCTACATCCCGCTCTAACCACTCCATTTCTCGAAGAAGAACCTGTACAGATTCTGGAGCCCCAACCAAATGATACTGCTTCCAAAAATGTGAGCATCATGGTTAAGATCGATACCGAAGTAGTAACTATGCCGGATAAGACTTCTCCTGGAATGAATGGGACTCAATCAAGTGGAAGTGAAGAAACTGTGTATTCCACTGCACTGATTATCACCATTGCAGTGGGATGTTCCCTTCTCATACTAAATGTCATCATATTTTTCGGAATCTATTATCAGAAAGAAAAGGATAGTTTAGAAAAGAAATTGCATAAAACATATTATGAGGTAACAAAAAGACAAGACATTTATTTTACTGAAATTTTTTACATGCATATTTTTTTTAAAGATATGCATACTTTTAGTTTCATAATTTTGTTACAGATTAACATTCGAAGGCATTATTTCACGAAATTTCAGCTGTGTTACAAACTTAATTACAGTTTTAAAGTACCGATTTAACTTTCCATTATTACCGTAAAATATTAAGCCATAGTTTTAACAGTTATATATACTTAATTAAGTAATTGAGTGATTTTACCGTAACTATAGCTGCAAAAATTGTGGTGCATTAGATTTCTTAGTCCCGCAATATGTTCCGTGGATTTTATGATGAACAGTACAAACAACTTTAGTGCCGGTATATTTTACCGTAATTGATCCAGATTTTTTGCAGTATATTAACAGTTTTGGAAAAGCATTCAATATTTAAGAGAATAAATATTTATTTAAATTGAATAAATTTTCTAAAATAGTATGTTTAACTTTATTACTCGGAAACCAATTTCCAGAATTAAATTTTTTTTAAAATTTCGCAGTCTTTCTTTTTTTATAGAGGCGTGATACTTTTTGATATTTTTTTAAAATTTAAAACAAAAATAAAAAAGTGGGAGGGTAAATCTACAAAATTAAATCTCATAAAAAGGCCAAATACCCAAAATACATTAAAATTCAAGAAAAAAATCTGGAATTTCACAATATTGTGAACTTCTAACATTTCCTTTCCATTTTTATATTTCATCTATTTTTTTTTTTAGTTTTCTGAAATCATTTATTTATTTGCTTAGAAACGAAACTGGTCACTGAAGCAAATCTGGGGATTCATTTTATTCATGTTATGTTCATTTTATTCTTTTCTTATGGTCAATTTATTCTTCATGTTACAATGTATTTTAGGGTAAATTATGTGCCTTATCAAAATGAAAAAAATCTAAACACTTTGATACTTTTTAAATATGTAGTTAAGGCTATCTCGTTGTTTCGAATCAAAATTCGAATTTTATTTTAAATTATTTAAACTTTAATAAAAATAAATTAAAGCTTTATTTATTTTTTAAGAACTGTAAGCCTTTAAGACATCTTTGTTTTTTTAATATTTAAAGAAATAAATATTTTAAGTAGACCGACCTTCTGAAGCTTATCTGACTTATTAAGACGATAAGCAACAATTGGAATACCAAATACCTCCTAGCCCTTTCTTCAACTAGCAGCTGTTTCAAATAATTTAATTTAATTTAGTAAATTATTTTAATTTAGTAAATGAAAATGTATTTACAAAGATCTAGAATAATTAGCCATATAATTAAAATAAACTCGAAACAATTAGAATAAACGGACAAATAAACATGCTTCAGCAAAAAATATTGTGAAAATTTCAAATTAATATGCAAAATTACAGAATTCTAACAATTGTGCCTTTTGTTTCCTTGTTCCATCGTACAATAGCAGATTTACAATAGAAAAATATTACATGTATTTCTTTTGTGTTACATTTTATCAATCCGAATAGTTGCAAAAATGAAAAAAAAATTAACAATGGAATGATAGTTTAAAATATCCATTTTAATAAACAATTTATTTAACTTTCCCTTAGAGAAATACAAGTTATTTCGCTTAAATTTTTCACAGATTGTCAATTTTTACGCAAAAATTATCACAAAAAAGTTAACACTTCCTTATAAATTTTATCATTAAAAGAAATTCCAAAAAACATCAAGAGAACAATAATAATGCTAGTTTGTTGATAATAGTTAGGCAAATAACATAATTTTATCACTCTTCTTTAAAAATATTGATGTTAACTTCTTTCACTTGGCATTATTCTTTAAAGTTGGATCCATGCCATAAAGTTTAGAAGTACAATAAAATACTAAAAAGATTTTTTTTTGTTTTTAAGCTCAAATATTCCACATAAATATTATGAAACTCAACTAATGATTATTTATCCTGCATTATCAGACGGGAAACATAATTTTATAGCATAGCAATCCATAAATAATAAGGATTCAGAATATTTTATTTCTTTAGTTCGTTGAAATTATAAAATAGAAAAACTACTATAGTAAAGAACACTTAATAATTATAAAATATTTTTCACTGTTAAAACATTACTATATTATAAAATCCAATTTTCGAAGCTAAAAATCTTTTAAGATTCATTGATAAATATTAATAAAACTGATTTAAAAATTTAGTTCTTTTTCGAACTTTAAATTGTATAAATGTTATAGTATATATGTGAAGATCGATTTTTATTTTTATTACAAAGATAGCAGTTGTTTTTATTGAACTGTACTGTCAACTTACTTGAACTGTACTGTCATCTTTACTTTTATACTCATGGCATACAATGTTTGAATTGAAAAAAAAAATGGAAATGTAGTTTAATTACTAAAATCAATAAATTTAAAACATAATTTCTTTAATAATTTTCTGCATATTTTCCTTGACATATTTTAGTTACTATACATGTATCTAAGCTGACCAGCGTTCTCAATGAATTTTAAAGAACAAGTAGCGAAGTTTCTATACGAATGTTTGAAAACTAACTGATATATGCAAATTAACATTCTATGACATCTATGCAAATTAACATTCTTAGAACCAAGATCCTTTTCTCTCTCTCTTTTTGGGTATTGAATTTTGCGTATCTATAATACCTTAAATGTAAATTAAATAATGCATTGAATATATGAATACATTCTTTAACATATGAACCCATAATTAAATTTTCCTCAGCAAATTTTTAAAAATATCATAAGGCTTTTAAATTTATAAAATGTCTGTTCAAAGAATCTCCCAATATGAGGTACCTTTGTATATCTTGGTACAATATAGATAAGTAAAACTTTAAACCATCTTAATTTAGGACATATTTGCATTAAACTATTCCTCAGTATTAATTCAAACTAGACACCTTAAAAGGTTCCCGAATTTTTTCTATATAGCAGTGTAAACAGAGGGACATTTCATTGCTTGTATGAAATTGCACGGATTTTTCTCTCAAATCGCTATTCTGAAGAATTGCAAAAATGGGATTTATTATTACTCTGCTACTAGTACTAGATTTCAAATCTTGATAATTCGCTTTCTTTTAAGGTCTAAATTTTAATATTAAAATCAGCATTTATTAAACTTTATGGGATGGTATCGTTTCGAAAAATCCAAACACCATAAGCTACACGCAATCTCATTTGAATATTTATTAATTATGTTTGCATTCTAGCTACTTTAATGATTGCAACCCAATTAAATCGTTCATTGCGAATTCCATCAGATAAAACTTACACTTTTCGCCACAAAGATTTCTATCTACTTACAATGTTACTTCTTGTAAAAGTGAAATAGTTCTATGCAACGGTCGCCACTAACTGTGGTCCTTTCTTGGGACAATTAGTATCTGCCAAGAAATAATCTTGTCTTCCACGTCCTTCTTATCGCTTGGGCTGAGTGTGCATCTTACTCTGGAAGAGAAGAAGCGGAAAGTGATAAATTGCGCCAGATCCCACTTCTAACATCCTTTCCGTTCCACCCTCTTTTCCGTTCCAGAAGTAGTTGGGGGTAACAAACCAAGTGTAGTGGGACGAAGCGAAATTTCTTTCTTTGCCTCATAACAAGCAAAGATAAATAGCATTTGGTTGAAAGTCGGCTTCTTTTAGACTGTCATGGGGTTAGGAACATTGCGCCTTTGCTGGTCGAAATGAAACATTCCAAATCCCTTATCGGTGCTAAGTTTTTGCCTGTCCCGATAGGAGATTAGTTGATATTGATAGATTTTGCTCTCAGGTTTGATTTACTAGATGGAAGTTAGTCGTTGGAAGAAACATAACGTGATTTATTAGTATTTGTACTAAACTTTACAATCAAATAAATACCCTGACTGTCTGAATTACGGGAAATTCCTTTTAACATATATATTTGCCAAGAATTCACAAAAGCCAGAGGAAATAAATAGTTGAGAACACAATATTAATTCCCATGGAGATTTTTAACTTAATTTATTGTCAATTCTTAACTGATTAAAACTAGTTGCAGAAACTCAACTTATAAGTTATAATCTTAACTTGTAATTGAACAACTAAGTTAAAAGTTATCAATTTGCTTATACTTACAACTAAGTTTCAACTAAGTTATAATTAAGTTTATTTACAACTAAATTATACGTTAACAACTTATCACGTATAAGTTTACATAAGAAAGTAAATGTCTTTGAATTTCTATTGTGGAAATATTTTCTTTCTTTTAAAAATTTATTTATTACTCTGAGCAAATTAATACTTAGTGAAATGCTTTATATGTATATCTGTTGCATGTACATAAATAAATTAATATCATTAATGTACACATTTAAGTAAATGTGATTATAGATTTAAATTAAACTCTCTAAGAACAGTTCTGACGCTAATTTTTTAAGATGATATTCGTATTGATATTACAAAAAAAAAGAACAAGAAATTCAAAATAAGCTGTTTTAAGTACATAAAAATACTTAAAACCAAATTTATTGCAGTGTCAACGCCTTTGTAAAAAAATGTTTTTAAGCATATAAATATGTTGCTCGGGAAAGAATTTCCTGATACATGAACAATTTCTAATATACATATAAGTAAAAGAACCCTTTTAAAGTCAAAATTTAATTTAAAAAAAAGGAATTTCAAAATTAAACAAAGCTAAATAAAATATACTCTAAATAAAAAAAATTAAACATTTAAATAAAAAATCGAATTCATTATCGATTTAATAATAAGAATTTGGGAGAAAAATACACTTATTCAAACAGAGAAGGAGAAAAATGAACTAAGCAAAAACTTTAAAATCATATGTCTTAAAAACATTTTAAAACAAAAAACTTTTTTTTTCACTTTTTTTAAAATTTAACAAAATCACTTCATAAAAGTTTTTTTCTTTCATTTTTTAAGGAAATTTTTATTTTGAGCAGAGAAACAATTAACAGAGCAAATCAATCATCAGTGTTAGAGAGATAGAAAATCTAGGTAGAAAATAATCGACTGTAAAATTTCCACTAATATATAAATGTGTATGAAACAATCCTCAAACATATTTTGAAGAAAATAAAAACAGGACGTATATATTTTTTTATTTAAAAAAAATTAAAAAATCAAAAATATAGTAATGAAGTAGTCAAACAATATTTTTATTTATATTAAGTTCCCTCAATCACATTTTAATGCATAATTAAGTGAAAGGTGACAAATAATGAGCTGATTGATGTAAAAAAAAGTCAGAGACTATTTAAAAATTATGTGATATTTTTATTACTATTAAATTTTTTAAGTCCTGCATGGGTAAAGAAGAATGTTCTTAAGTATGTATGTAACTTATAAAAATCAGAATTTTTTAGTCGATGTTTACAAAATTTAGTGTATCAAGTTTAGCGTTTCATGACATGGTGGACCTAAATGTGACTTTTAGAAATTCCTCAGACAACCGGTTCACGCGATACATCTTAAAGAAAGGTGTTTCCATACTATTCGAGAAATATTTTATAAGACTAGTGAATTACTAGCTTGCTTCTCTGAAAAATTAAAAATTAGTTCTAAATTAGTTCTATTTAAAATCTAAAATGAATAATAAATGAAAATAAAATATACTTGCTATTATCTAATTACTAGCTTGCTACTCTGAAAAATTTAAAATTAATTCTAAATTACTTCTATTTAAAATCTAAAATGAATAATGAATGAAAATAAAATCTAATCTAATAAATAAAATATAAAATAAACATTATGATACCAAAAAAACACGAATTAAATGCAAAATTGTTTGGAATTTAAAAGGTATTGTTTCTATGATTTTTTTTTTCCTTTAATTAATATCATAATTAATTTATAACTACTTAGGTGAAGATCAGAAATAATTTTGATCTCTTAGACATACTGTTTTTAGTCATAATGCTGTTTTTCTCAAATAAGAAATAACAATAAGAAGTATCATTGATGCTCGAGAGCATTTATCTCCTTTGTTCCAACAGGAAAGAAGGAGTGAGGAAGAGGATGGTCGTCCATCTGGTGAAAAGCCTTTTCTTGTGAAGGACATGTCATCCTCAATGATGCTCAACCAATATTGCCCACCCGCCGAGTTTGACGGCAGCCAGACACTGGATTTGGTACAACCGAGCAAAGCTAAGCTCCCATTCCAGAATCCGGGAGGGAAGGGTCAAGAGGAAAGTCAGTTCCACTTGGGTTCCCGGATGGGTCAGGGAGAAAGGGAGATCGGAATCCGGGAACCCCTCCTCTCCTCCTCCAAGCCGCACGCAATCACAGCCAAAGTCGATTGTTTGCAAGCTTGGGAACATCCGGCTCAAGAAATGACTGTGTAAGTAAAGTCACTTACATTGATCTCTTCTGATTGTTTCTTGAAAACATAAGCCTTTTCTTTTACGTGGTTTCTAAATAAGAAAACAATAGCTTCCGAAAAGAAGTCATACACGCAGTGTGGATTCATTTGTTTATCTTTCAGATTTTCAACTGCATTTGATTTTTTTTCAATATTTAATAAATTATAAAGTGAACTTTGAATATATTTGTTGGTAATAAAATATAAACTTTCATTGTTCCTTTTCTTCTTTGATAAGATTGAAACTCTAATAAAAATAGTTTTCAAAAGTTGCACAAAATTTATTTATATGTAGATTGATGTATTAAACTAGAAATCAACTTCTGTTACAGTTCCGTTCCTCATTAATTAATTTTAATTAAATTAAAATCCTACTTTGTTTTAAATAATTACAACTTAAAATTAACAATTATTAACTTAAAATTAAAGATGCATGTGCAAACGTTAATATGAACGATCTACATACATGATAGATTTATACATAATAAATAACAGTTTCTCAAAATTGAGCAATAATGTGTGAAAAAGCTCAGAAACAAATAATAGTCAAATGTGAAATCCCCTTATATTCAAAATTAAAACAGCATTTACTCATTTTCATGTGAAAGGAGAATGTGTGAGGAGAATGAAGGAGATGTTCGTACGCTGCCGATAGAATTTTGCCCAAGGACGTCCTGGTTCGCAACAGGATGGTACATTTTATTTGCTAAAGAGTATTAAAGCTCAAGTGAAATGAGCAAAAAATTAAATTGAGATTATCAATCACAGGACTACGCTTTTGAGAGTTGCCAGCCTTTGAACCAATGAAATTGAAAATTAGTAGGTCATGATATGTTAATGTGGCCGTCACTGTAGAAGGCTTTCCTACTCTCCCTGGTGGGGTGAACAACTATGGTAGTTAGAGCATCTTTCCGCGAAACAGGAAGCCCTTGGTTCGAATCTTGTTTCAGTCAACGAAATTATCTCTCACACATTTCACCCTCCACGTGTATTTTTCACAAAAATGTGTACTTGGTATTTTAATTTCTAATGCATGTGGTTATCAAATTTGAATATTATTTGTTTAGAAGCATTTTTACTAAGTTTTGAATATCCCTTTTTTACAGTGGATGGTTATAAGTAATTGCAAATAAAAATGATCTCATATTAATTTTAGAATGAGAAAAAAAATCAAAAATTTACTATATATCGATGATATTTTTGTTAAAAAAATCACCATTCTGATTATTAAAAATGAAATATTTGGTATTTAAATCTTTCATTCGGTATTTTTTCCGTACATATAGTATCGGGTACAAGAAATTCTGGTTTTCAAAATTATAGTTTTTATTACAGCATATTTAGTAAAAAAATACAACACTGAAAAGCAAATTTAACCAATTAAATGTTTTTATGCCCTATTTTAAGGTAACGCGTCAAAATTATCAATTTTCACCTCATTTATCAAATTTTATCATATCCATATTATACAGTATATTTTTCCAAAATCCTTAACAAACCACTTCGTTAAAAATTAACGAGCTTCTTGGTGTTCCAATATGACAGAAACACGGTAAATTTTACCGTATTCTGTTTGCTTTGACCATATTTTTTTCTCAGTACAATTATTCATAAATGTTAACTATCAAGTATGATTGCTTTAAAGGAAATGAACTAAATTTAACCCCTTAAATATTTGACCAAGAATTTCATTTCGTATAACATGATTTCTTTCTATCATTATGAAGTAGGTTCTTTTTAAGATCTTCAATATCAAAATGGGTTAATGATATTAATAAAAGCAATATATTTTGTGCATATTTAAACAAATATCAGATTTGATTGAATCATGATTAAAATTATGTGAATAATAGCATTTATATATTATGCAATATTTTTCCTAATTAAAGCGTAATAATTCATTCAGTTTTCATCTGACTTAATTTCATTAACATAGAACTAATGCGTTTCCTTTAAAAAATAAAACCTTTTTTAATGTCACTTATAAAATATGACTTCTAAAATTGAACTTCCAAAAAAATTTTAAAAAAATATATTTACATTTACTGCAGAAAATTCCAGATCAAATTATTGTTAAAAGTACCGGCACTCAAGGTGCCGGTTATTTTATCAATTTTTAAATAATCAATTTATAAATTATCAATTTTTACTAAAAAAATATCAATTTTACTGGAATATGTTCGAAACAAAAAATCTGATATACCGTCACTTTTAACGTAATAATTACCGTAAAGTCTCGAATCCTTTTAATTAAATAAATATTACCCTAAACCTTACGGTATAATATTTTACGCTAAGAATGTATTTTAAGAATGATGCCCCTGGAAACCTGAATTTATACCGTAATTTTAACTGAAGTATTTTATAATGCACTTCAAAAAACTGTGTTAATGAAACTATCATGTACCGGTAAAGAAATTATCATGTATGTTTTTGAAACATTTCCTCGAGATGAGGAATGCTTAAACGGTTGTTCAAAAAAAGTATTTCTCCTCATTCATATAATAACAGTAAGCTCTATATTTTTCTCCCTGATGCAATAGTTGAAAGCACTGTTTTAACTGTTAACAACACTGTTAACAACACTATAAATTTAAGCGTTATTGTTTGTCTTATTTTAATTAGTGTTTAATAATCTTTGTTTAGTTAATATTTTATCTTTATGTTAATTATTGTAAAAATAAAATGTTATCTTTTTTAGGTTTGGAATAGATAGTCACAGCTAGGACAAGAAGCACTAACCTAATTCAAAGAGTTTCTTTCCACTTCTTGACATAAGCGATCAAAAAAGCACATAATGGTTTGTGCTAAAAATTACATTGGATTTTCCCGTGAAATTATGCTATGTGCTCGACATTCTAAAATATTTTATGATGCCTGAACTCTATACATTTTGAGGTCAGGCAAACTTCATTTTTTCTTCTCTGGATGGAAACTAGTTGCACTTTCTTCCGCCCATGGTTGGAAACATTTAACTAAAAAATGGAAACAAAATTTTTTCTGTGAATTTTGGTGTCTTTTACTGTGATGACGGAATGTAAATAAAGTTGTTATTTTCAGTAAAAAAATGTATCTATTAACTTTTCTACTACTATCACGTAAGTTTAAACATAATTGTAGAACTTAATCCATGGGGAAAAGTATCCCATTCATCCTACTACACTGTATACAATTCTAGATCAAATAAGGGTATAAAGAATTAGCATTCTATGCACAGGGTGTGCAAAATCCATTTTACCATAACATTCCGTAACATTTCACACCGTAGTTTCGGTAATAACATTCATTTCATTATAATGATTCAGTGATTTTACAGTAAATATTAATGTAAAATTTATCACCCCGTGTGCTGGTACTTTTGCCGTGTCTTGCTGGTACTTTGATCTGGAATTTCTTACAGTGTAGACGAGTCCTTAAGATAAACATGTTCTCATTACTGCTATTTAAAGATTTAAGCCTAAATCAAATATGACTTGAACAACTTTAGACATAGTGGGTTAAAGACAACCCCATTTATTTTTGACATTAATAAATAACCTAAAATAACAAATGCTTATATCTTTTAAATTAGGTTGTTTTTTAAATAAAACATTTAAAAATTTGAAAAACATAAAGATAAAGCAGATTTATTTATTTTGTGCAGGTATACTATAATCAAGAATCTTATGGTTCGTTTTTATTAAACTTGTAGTCCCGCAAATAAACTGACGAACAGTTTAATTTTTTTCATGTTATTAAATTTTCTCCCTTAGTTCATATAAAATATTTATGGTAACTAGCTAAATAAATCAACATATACTGCTGAATGTGTTATTTTTAAGCAATATATAAAACTCAAGTAGGTAAACATGACATACTTAAAAAAAATAATTTGTTTTAATTAAGGCGAAAACAGGAAAGTTACCATTGTTTCTTCTGGAAAAAATGTTTAACTGAACAGTATCTCACCTATACATAATAAAATGCTTTCATAAAAAGTATTTCAGTATATTTCAAATAAAAGCTCAGTATTTTCAAGCATAAATCACTTAAAGTTATTGAAATGATTACAGTGATATTGCATGGCTTATATAGAAAAACAGGTTTAAATGTATCCCACCAAATCACAAAACATTTTAATACAGATTCAGTATTTTGCGAAGGTATATAAAATAATGTATGTTTTGCGGAGTTTCAAGCGCCGAAATGTAAACTGTTTTTTAACAGAACAATTTAATAATAATAATAAATCATGTAATTTTGCAATTAAATATAACATCGAAGATACTTGATACAATCATCCCTATAACCATAATTGCTAACGGTTAATAAGTAAATGGTTAATGAACAAATTACAATATTAATTAATTTTAAACTTATGGCTACAGAATATTAATTTAAAACTCATTATTCGTAATGAGGAAGCAGTGTTTCATGACCTCGAGGCAACAATTCAATCTGTGTATTAGATCACTAAGAATGCTGTTTGAGGTAATAGGAATAATGATATTATTCATTACTAATATTATTCATCATTAATATTTCATAATAAATAAGTTTACTAAAAAGTAAAAACAAATATTTTTCAAATAAAAGTTGTCTCAATATGCGATATTCTTATTAACTTTCCATTTTCTTGTAAAATTGAATATAAACTATTATTCATGGAAAATAACGAACTTATTTTTAACTTTTAATTTACTTAAATTCTTTTAATACAGTATGAAAATGATGGAATACTTTTCACAATAACTTTAAACAAGATTCGTAGAAATACATTTCTTATAAATAATGTATTAAAAATGTATATAATACATAATAATGTGTCTGTTTGCTAAATTTTTAAATAATACTTTTTTGACAAAACATTCATCTTCAATAATTAAACCAAAAAAGAAAGTAATTAAAAAAATAATATAACACCATTTTTAAACTCAAAATTCTAGAAGGTTTAAAGAAAGTATGAATATTTAAATAATAATTTACTCTACGTTGCAGGTTTCTTTCTAGGGAAATAATTTAAAACAATTAATAAAATTAAAATGCTTGAGGAATAACTGTTTTTTGTATTAAACTAACATTTTGGTAAAATTTTATTGCAGTAAAAAATTTTAAATAACCAGACGCAACGTAATCCCACCACTTTAAAAGTCTAATTAAATATTGATAAACACCAAAGATTTGCCAACTAAATTTTTATTCACTCCACTATCTCTTAAGCAATCTTATAAAAACTAATTTCTGAGGAAAAAAAAGTTATTAAATATTTCATTTTTAAAGCTACAGTTGAATATTTGCGTTAAAAGGTTAAAAAAAAGTAGCTTGGGAAAGAAATAGAACGTTTCTTATTATTTTTAACGTAACTACAATGCTTCCTTTTACATCTTCTTTGGAAGAATGTTAAGAGAAGACTACAAAATTGCATTTTTCTCTTGTCGGCTTGATAAACACTCTGTTTAGTTCAACCAAATAAGTGAGGTCAAAGAAGTTTCGAAAAACAAAAATAGACGCAAAAAGAAGAAAAGAAGAATAAAAAAAGAGTGAAGAAAGAGAAAAATATTTCCTTTTTGTTTACCGCGTGAGAAACTTTCTCTGTAAAAAAACTAATTACAGTGCGGTTTCCTGTACGATGTAAAACTACTGGTATTAAAAAAAGCTCTTTTAAAATCCCTTCGTGCCCCGGAACAACATTTAATGCAAAGCCATACAACGAAGACAAAAGTGCCTTTTTTTTAGAAATATCTTCTAAGGTTATTTGTTGAAGATTCTTCTTTTCTCCAGTATAAAATGGAAACTAGACCTTTGGAGGATTAAGTGATGAATGGGTTTTTTTATAACCTATGTTCATTAAGTAACAGTAATAAAAATACGCTCTGTGATTATACGTAAAAAGGCATAATATGAAGGAAACAAAAGAAATATTTTCATAGTTATAATTCAATCTTATAAGCTGTGCAAAGTTTAAAAGTACAAAGTTCTCTTTGAGTTGTTTATGAATGAAAACTGTTTTGAGATAGTCAAAAAAAATTTTTAAATGTTTAATCGACACTGTAAAAAATTCCAGATCAAATAAAGGTTTAAAGTACCAGAACTTTTAGTGCATCATCCTTAAAATCTACTTCACTATAAAACACAATTTTACTGTAAAATATTATAAGGTAATTTTTACAGTTACATTTATTTATATAGTGTTTCCACTAATTTATGCTAATTATTTCTGTAAGCAATACGGCTTAGCAGATTTTTTGTTCCGTCGCATGTTCCAATAAAAATTAATTTTACTGTAAAAATGGATTTTATGGTAAAGAGAAGTACCGACATCCTGAGTGCCGGTACTTTTTACAGTAATTTTATCCTCAATTTTTTACTAAGTAGTTTTAAGTTATAACTCGAAAGAATTATGAAGTTTTAAAATGTCTCATATATTATGAAATAAATACTGAAGCATTGTGTACCGTATTAAGGAACTGAAATTCGTCTTTGCATTTTTAATACAATACTAAAATGAACATTTTGAAGCATGATGAACTAAAATGTATAATGCGTTGAAAGGATTTTTCAAAACCCTTGTAATGAAACAATCTTATCTTATAAAAATACCACATGCAAAATGACATAAGAATAATAAGAAAAAAAATACACATTAAGTAGTACATAATTGTTTCATTTAATTTCGGAAACTGTTTTGAACAGATTTGATTACGATAATTTAGTCGATATCCCTTAACTGAACGTTTAATGTCGCAATCTCTTTAAATTTGCCATATTTGCCAATCTTTAATATTTGTAGTTTGCAGTTATTGTTTGTATAAGTACAATGTCAAACTTTTCGGAGTGAATTGAACAATTGAATCATTTAAGATTAGTTGAGGAATTGGATTTTACAGTCGTATTTGTTGAAAAAAGCAATAAAATACCTTTAGTGGAAAGATTAAATTTAAAAACAAAAAAATAAAAACATCTATGAAATTCGGTAAAACTATACAGCGTTTTTTAGTTTTTAATTTATAACAGAAATGCGATTTGCAATTATTTCATCACCTTCGTTGCAAATTTTAAAATGCAATCGGAAACATTTTAAAATGTTTCAAAAACTCGTATTTGAAAGAGTCAATGAGCTGTGTATTGCAATATTGTTTAGTTTTTAATTTACAAAAAAAAATCTTTTGAAATAATTTAATCACATTCTTTTTAATTTTGAAAAATAATCGGTAACATTTAAAAATGGCGTGTTTTAGAAATAGTTCAAAATGATCATTGAGCCAATAATTCATAACTCTTGTGTATTACATTGTTTTCTGACTGGCAAATGTATAAAAAAGCTCGAAATTTCAATTCTTATGCAGCTTACAACCTCTGCTGTTTGCCCGCCCAGCAAACTCTGAGACGTCCTCTTAGTTATCATTTTTCCCTTGAAATCGTGTTTTTTAATGAAAAAAACAAAGATATTTAGGTCTAGGAACGCAGAATTTTGAAATTACATAAATAAATAAGTGAAAAGTAATTTTACTTGTTAACAACAATAACCCTAACGATGTATTTAAACTGTTACCTTACAACTTGAGTTTTATATATTTCTAAAAACCGCAGTATGAATGCTAAGGTTGATATCCTTCAACTTTTGATCGGTTTCTTCCTTATATTTTTATTCATTTGTTTTTGTTACTTTTGATATCAAATCATTGACGATATCGAGAGCAAAAGTTACAGAATTAATTTTCACACTCTTAAAAGTTTGATATTTTTGATATACAGGATATTATATATATACAGTGCGATGTAAAACTTCTCTCGCGATTTATTTAATATAACTCTATTTAACATAATATTTGTTTCATAGATATGCGTTGGAATATTAATTCAATTACATGCAATGCTCGTTTTAATAAATTAATAAAAAAAATATGCTGGTTCTTTGCCAAATTAATTTTTTTTATTTACTTAGTTATTACAACCTTTAGCTGTGAGTTGAGCAATTATTACAACCTTTAACTAAAGTTAATAACTAGTTTAAAAGAAAATAATAATGATAATAAATAAATACAAGTAAAAAAAGTATTTTTTATACATAAAAATTCTTTCTAATTCG